TTTCTTTTTCATAAAATTCATCTCATGTTCATGAATGCGCTGATTCAACGTACAACCTGTCAGACCGATATATACCTTAGGACAAGATCCACATTTGAGTTTGTATACCCCTGAAATTCACTTCCACAGTACTGAAACATACACAATCTAGATAAGAACGCTATAAAATAATAAGAACTCTACCCAATCAAAAGGCTATGCCATGCAGTTGTTATCGGAACTCAAGCACTGATAAACTAGGTATTGATTCATCTGGTGATCTTCTCAAAGTTTGATTTTTTTTCTAGAATCATCGTCCTGTGTGCTGAAATCAGGAATCAAGAACCAAATTGGTTGTGAACTCGCATTGTAATAATTTCATGTCGTAGTTCGTAATTGTGAGGTGATTTTCAAATTCGCTGCTTTCAATCACTGTTTTCTTCGTTCGATTCCTACTAGTAGAAATGGCTAGAAAAAGTTTTCCTGGCGAATTCTCATTGTTTTTTGCAAATAGATACCTACCAAACAGATACCTGCTTTCGTATTCATTAATATATCGTTGCCATCGATGCCTGATAATTGCCAAGCAAAAATCAGAAGCAATCAAGTTGAAATCACAAAACTCATTATAAACAAGACAACTAAGTTTTTGTCTTCGAAAGAGTAAAGAAGACAGACAAGAAGGTAGGTATAGAAAAGGAATATTCTCATAAATATTATAAACATGAAAAAAAAAATTGATACATTATTCAAAGATAATCATTGAGTATCGGCATTATTTATCTGATAAAAATATCAAATCGTTCCCGGTATACCGGGTGACACAGGAGACATGTAACATCCTGTAGTTTTTTCATTTGGAGAGATAACAATTTGAAATTCACAAGGATTATATAATCGATGATAGCGCTTTCCTTGAACTTAATGACAATTTTTTTCAACCACCTGTTTGATTGGAAGTAGACCTAACTTTTTTTCCATATGGCACCCTGTATATTTCTGTTGTTTATCTTATACGTCGTAAAATTCTCTATTCAACTATGTATCACAATTTGATATTCATTCATTGATTGGCTGTTAAATTGCATTTTATTGAAATACAGCAAGTTGGCTGTGGCCCGAATACAATATCATTTCGATGTTTGATAGGCTTAGAAACCCAAAGATCATCACTTAGACGATATTATCAAAATATTTTCCATACCCTAATCGTTCCCAGAATATTGCCAATAATTTCATTGAGTTTAAAAAAATCATCCGAAAATAACTCACGATATTAGGACGATACATAAATTATTACAACAATTACAGTTTCATGTATCCAAATGGATGATCATATTATGGAAGACAATAGTTCCTCCACAAGTAGGCAAATGAAAAAAACTGAGTTTCTATCTTAGTTTTTTCAATATCGTCAGTTATTTTCGGATGATTTTTGTATTAATGAACGAATATCAAATTGTGATATATAGTTGAATAGAGACTTTCAAGGCAAATAAGATTGGCTACAGAAATATACAGGGCGCCATTAAAAAAAAAAGTTGGGTCTACTTCCGATCAAACAGGTGTTTGAAGAAAAAATGCCGCGGGCTTTTCTGCCAGATGACAGTAAATGACAGATGTCAGTCCAGCTTGCTGGACAAACAAATAAATCTACAAATGCTTATTGTGCATTTATGTCATATTTTGAAATATTTTTTCTTCATTGTGCAATTGTGAAATGTGGAAGTAGAAGCGGCATCAGAGATAAGGTCTCTTTCCATCGATTCCCTTCGAATTGTGATAATAGGAAACATATTAATCCTCTTGCTGAAAAGGGACGTGAATTTTGTGGATCCAGGCAATCAAAAGAGCAAATTCAACCACTGAGAAGTATGTTGAGAATCTAGGAAGCAAAGTCATCATGAAAATTGAAAATATTTTTTTCATTTCAGGCATGTCAAGTGCATTGAATCATTTCCTGTGTGTGCACTCTTCTTAAATACAAAATAGTTTATGTCATACATTGAAATTTTAGGAAAGTCCTTCACAGCATCACTACAATCACCAAATTTCAATATATAGGGATCACATCTATTGGTTTCTTTCAGGTCATTTAAATATCTTCTGGAGATCCATAGACAATGTATTGAAATAATCACTTTCATCAGCCATCTTACAAACAGTATTCTTGCAAGCAAGTAGAAAAATGATATCAATACATTATGTTCCCTTCCTTTAGGTAAACACCTATAATATCCTCAGAATTTCAATTATAATATCATTAAACTATCATTGTTGTTTATGGAAATATGGTTTGTTTGTCCAACAGGCTGATTGACAGCTAAAGACAGCTGTCATGTGACGTCACCTGCACTCGCCCTATTGTCATTGTGTTCAAAAGGCAAGCGTCATCATCGATAATATAAGTCTTGTGAATTTCAAATTTGTACCTCTTTAAATAAAAAAACTACAGGCTGTTACATGTCTCCTGTGTCACCCGGTATATTTAGTAGTAATACTAAAAGTGCTTCAAAATATTCGAGTTATACATAATTACAAAGAGTGTCAGTTTAACAGTTGAAAGGGCTAGGTGCATTTCTTTCCACAACTTTTCTCCTATGAAATTCTCGGCAGTTCGACCAGGAAATATAATCATTTTTCCATGAAAATTATACTCCTGTTTAGTTTCGATAGCACTCACCTTTTTCGAGATAAATCGATTTTCAAAGTCTGCTGCGTAACAAAAATAGTGCTTTTTCCTTATAATAGGGTACCAAATTTTCCCAAAAATTATTTTTCGATAGAAAATGTCCATTTTTTGAACATTTACTTGTGATGTTTGACTCAAAATATGAGACACTATTCTTGATGATCCTAGAATCTGTGGTTGCAATCTTTCTATTCAATTTCGGGACACCCTGTATATGTATATAATGTCATTCGAAATAATCAACAGAAAACAACGTCGAACATTGAATTGCATTTCTTGAACACCCAGGATGAACAACAATTCATCGTACAACTAAATCATGGCAGGTATTGCAGGTAACCTATGGGTTGTCAAAATGTTGTCATTGCCAGATATATACTATATGGTATATGACAATCAGAAATATTCTTGCTTTGTCTGACAGAAATAGAGAATGTGAAATGTAAGTCGTATCACATAATAATATGGTTGCATTCAATTGATAAGGTGTTTTCCCCCATTTTTTATGTTGCATTTTAAAAGAATATCAATAGTTATTCTGAAAATGTACAGGGCTCTGAAGAGAAAACGGTTCAATGTAGTGAACGATTTCGACTTATACTTCAAAACAATCAAAATAGTATATTATGTAACAAGTGTTATAAACGTCCTTCTAGTAACGAGTATTTTAAGCACGAGCGGAGAAGAGCGGAGCGAGTGTTTAATAAACGAGTGTCTAGGAGAGTTTATAAACGCGTTGCATACTATATGCTTTTTCTACGAGCTCTGAAAATTACATTAACATACCTGCCAATCCTGCTAACCTTAAAATCATCCGAAAGGAATGAGAATTGAGAACATAATACATGCAACTGCATGCAACCAGCGAGACACGTATAAGTGATATTGGTTGTAGATATGCTACTAACCTTTGTTTCACGTTTATTGTCATGCTTAGCGCAGAATTAATGAATTGTTCTCAAAGATGGATGCTTCATTTTTATACTTTTTGGAGATATGCAAGTACCAGAACATTCTCTTCGATTTCACTTTCGTCTACATTTCGCATATATTTAATGGAGAACTCTGATACAAACGAATATTGTTTGAATAATTCTGATACAAAATTCGAAAATAACAATTGACAGTTGATACAATTGACAGGCCAGACATGTCTCAAATTACTGAAGCTGTGTTTAATGAACTGTGTTGCCATGGTAATGTGTTTAAGAAATCGTGTTGCCATGGTAACGTGTTTAATATTTTGAATAAATCACAGATCCTCAATCCGTGATTAATCGATCATTTAGCGTGGTACATATCCGTACGCTATATGCCATTTTAGTTATGTGAATAGAAAAACAATTTTTCATTGAAACAGACCCATTTCAAATTGAATCGCAAACAAAAGTAGATGAATGAACAAGAGAAGAAACAGGGGTAGGGGCAGCAGTAGCCCCAGGAAGTGTTCATTGGGTTTCCAAGTTTTTCTCATTGAATCTGTGTAGGGAGATTCACACTTTGGCACACCAGCTATTCCCTCAAATAAATATCTGATAATGATAACAAATAAATATTTGTTGTCGTTCTACTCTAGAATAACTTTTATTCTTTATATCTGGATCTGAAACGAATCATTCGAAAGAGATTTCATAGAAGCTCCTGTGTTAGCCAAACATTGTTTGATGTTCGTAGAATATTATCGATATAGTAATTTTTTCCACTTACTATAGATTCCCATTAAGCAAAAGCCGTTCGAAAAAAATATTCAATAACTATTTTATGGAAAGATATCAGCGCATTCACTTATAGTGCTACATAGATATTTTATGATCATCTTTTTCTCTTGTCAGAATTGTATTTCTAACTTTGCACGTGTAGTGTAGCAAAAATCAAATTCTAATTCGACGGAGTTATATAGCAATAACCTCGGCAACAACCTTATCTAGAAATGTGTAAGAATCCACAAGAGTCAAAACACTGCCTGCTTTCTTTCAGTGCCTTCCATGATTGTGATAAACACGTAGTTTCTGATAAAAAACACAAACAAGCCATATTGAATCGATCGCTCTCATTTAGATTTGTCTTTAGGCAAGACTAGTTAGAAACTAAACCAAAACATCATATTTAGAGATTATATTTTTCAATGAATGTATCAGTGATAATGCCGGAGTCATTTCTTAACTTATACGTGTTCGTGTTACGAATCAATAATCTTAAAATTTATCAAACTATCAGAACTTATTATTGAATCAAAATTGTTCCATGGTTTGACTCTATGGTTTGACTAGTTCCTAAACTGTGAGTTCGTATTATTTGTGATTGGTTCTTATAGTGATTCGTATGTGTGATGTCAAGATATAGTTCGGGAAGTGGGTCCAGTTCCTCCAAGGGTTTGGAAAGTTCAAATTTGCTCACGGTTACACCGAGAAGTTACGGATCTTTGTTGCCCTACTACGAGTTTATCAAAGCCATCTCTCGGTCACAACAGATACAGGTAGGAATATGTACAGTGTTGCCACGTCATATTATACATGGCGCCAAATTATACATAATCATTCACAATTATACACAGTAAATTTGGGAATATACAAATTTTATACACCAACGATTCAGAGCAATTTTTGTTTGAAAAAAAAAGTGATAATACGTTATCGATGAAAATTCTTTTTCTCTGTTTATTTCCTTCATTTTTCTCAATTCCTATTCATTTCCCGAAAATGTCTCTAATTCCTCACAATTCCTCGAAATTCCTCTAACTCACATCCATTTCCTCCTTAATTCCTCGTATTCCCCCTCTATTCCCCATGCATTTCCTTTATTTACAATATTTCCCAAACATTCCTCTAAGTCTTCGCATTTCCCCGAGATTCCTCTATCTCCCTGTTGTTTCCTTTCATTCAAAAAGACCAAAATCAGAGGTCAAAGGCGCACTTAATTAAATAAATTTCTTAATGATGTAATGTCATCCATTACCGTTTCATGGGTATATTCTGAAAAGTATTCAAGAATCTGTTATGAGTTTGAAGAATTTAATAGTTCAATAGGAAATTTGTAAAATTCTGAATTTCTTCGATACCATTATATTGTATCGGTATAAATAATATACAGGGTGAGTAAGTTTTCGTAGCAGGACTTCAACAGCTTGAAGAAAATACTATTTTAAGATAACAATCTCATGTAAACATAAATATGCGTTGAAGCCTGTTTCCCCCAATACAGGTGGAGTGATATGTTTATATATATTTTTTGTGTTTCCTAGTTCTGCCACTGAGTTTCATTAACACATCCTAAGAAAGCTTTTGATCATTCCAAACCTACTAGTCAATTATTAAGAGAAGTCAAATAGAGTGTGATCGAAAACTAAAGTTTTCTCACAAGTAAATTATTTTTTGGAGATCGGAAAAAATGAAGAAGAGAAAAACTATTACGAATAAAACAGAGAATCTGAATTAATGTTTCCCAACGACCAACTACCGACTGCCTTTTGTGGATACACCTTAAGGAGCGAAATTGGGCTTCACTTCTGTTTTGAATTGAACCCACGACCGGCAAGCGGACGCAAATTAGAATATTGACGCTTCTTCCGCGCGGGTACCTGGCCACTATTATTCTACTACTCATTTTATAGTAGTGCTTTTATAATTTCTGTAAGTACCCAATTTTGACGAAAGAATCATAATCTCCGACCCCGAAAACCCCCAGATACTAATTTTTGATAGAATCGGATCATGATTACAAAACCAGTCCGCCATATTGTATTCGCCATATTGAATTTTCCAATTTTGACAAAAGCATCATAATATCCGACCCTGAAAATCCCCAGTTGCCAATTTTGGATAGAATCAGATCTTATATAATTACAAAACTCGTCCACCATATTGAATTCGTCATCTTGAATGTTGTCGAAAGAATCATGATCTCCGACTACGATACAAATTTGAATAGATTCAGATCATAATTACATAACTCGACCGGCATATTGGATTATCGCCCTCTTGAATTCACCAATTTTGACAGGAGAATCATTATCTCCGCCCTCTAAAACCCCTGGATTCCAACAATTCGATATTATAAAATGAATTTCGCCCAAAAAGACGATTTTTTATTATTATATTAACCAGTTAGTATTTGTGTCATATGTGTTATACAAAGCCCCGCAACCACGGGATGGGATTTTGGAGGGAACTGTTTTTTTCTATCTCTTGAAGCACACGAAAGGAAATTTCTTTAATGTGTAGAAAAAAATATATTTTGTATTCATTGAATTTCGAACCCCTGGGAATTCGAAAAATTTGTATACCTCTACTTCAAAGCGGGAAACTATCAACCTCTCCAGAAATCGAAACTTGTACGGGGCTCAGTAGAACGGGACCTACACTTTGAAGCGGAAACCGAACTACTTCTAAGGATTCCGATAAGCGGACAGGATTGATATCATGACCCCCGTCTTCAACCAAAAAATCCATTCACCTGTTGGATTCGAACTGTCGTCATTTCGGACACGAATAAATAGACAGCATACTTGATTAGACAGCGAACGAGCGATAAAGGCGTCTTGCCCACTGACCTAAGGTCCCCAATTTCTCTGAAGTGCCTCGAAATTCTTTCATTTCCTCGAAATTCTTTCATTTCCTCGAAATAATTTCATTTCCTCGAAATTCCCCTAAATTCCTCCAATGCCGATTCACGAAAACTTCGATTCACCCACATTTCGATATACCCACTCGGAATATACCTGAACTATGCACTGATGCCAATAAGGAATACGCATGATTTTTTGTTTAATCGAAATTATATTCCTTCTTCCTTATAATAACATTGGATATCATTCATTAATCTCAAATTTGCTCGTGACTCTAAAAAATTTCATTTAAATGTGGCTAAATATGAAGTCACAGGAAAACGGGTTAGTGGCCATCACTAATATTATGACGTCATAGTATTAGGCCGCACAGCCATAGACTAGCGCGACAGAATGACAAGATTCAGATTGAAAAAAAAAGAAGAAGAGGTAGGAGAAGAAAACAGTTTTAAACGCCAGAAATTTGAAATTTGAAAATGATAATGTTTATACCAAATACTGTTTAGTGCCGCAATGCCTTTCATCAACAAAAGTATCACCAGGAAAAATATTCCTTTCATTGCCAGTGGGATCGAGTGATAAAAATAAAGAAAAGAAAATGATGGTTGCAAGCCATAAATAGAAATGATTTATCCGAGAAAACCAGAGGATTTGTTTGTGAAGACCATTTCGAAGTGAGTATACGTTCAAGTATGTCCTAGTGAAACCCATTATATATCAATGATTATGTTCCTCCTGTTAGGAGAATAATATAATATGTGATTTCGTTTTCAGCTTGAAGAAGATATGGAAAACTATATGAGATATAAATTGATAGGTGGTAATATATATTTGAAACAACATGCAAAAAGAAGTCCTGTTTGATCATTCTTATTGTAGATATTTGCTTATTATTCAGTTATTATTATTCAGAATATTGAGATCATATAATTGAGATAGATCATAGAAACTACAAGCTCAGATAATCATAACCTCACTTTCTCTTCTTATATTACTTTCAATCGTTCGGACATGAATGTTTGACATGACAAATAAAAACAGCCACATCCAGTCGGAAATCATCGCTGCAGTTCGGCTGTTGGTCGGAAAGTTGCAAATATTATGATTTTCAATCAGTAATTATTAAATATTCGGTGCTTAATAATGATTTTCGGATGTATAATTCGACATCTATACATATAAATAATGGAACAAAAATATATTCCAGTGTAAAATTTTCACACGCGTATACCTTATTGTAGGATTAACACAATGTGTTGATAGACCCCCAATGACTGATACAAGCGTCTATAGCTATACCATTTTTCTCCATGACCCTCTGAGTTCCGAAAACGTATTATAGGGAAGGAAAATATTTTCTCTGCAGAAGGAAGGATACTACTTTTTCTAAACAACCTAACCTTACTCGGTCTAAATGAACCTTGCTAAAAAGTATATTTTTCGGAAAATTACTTGATAGAACGCTGTCTAAATAAACCCTCATCCTAGAGGTATATTTTTGTATGGCTGTTTCAAAATTTGGGCGAATCGAAATTTGGGAGAATCGAAATTTGGGAGAATCGAAATTTGGGAAAATCGAAATTTGGGAGAATCGAAATTTGGGAGAAACGAAATGTGGTCGAATCGAAATGTGAATGAAGCAAAATCTCGGCGAATCAGAATTTTGGCGAATCGAAATTTGGGAGAATCGAAATTTGGGAGTCCGTCCACACCACTCGAAATACTGACAGGCACAACAAGAGGAAGGAGCCATGGGTGTCGGCTTCATTCTGTTCTGACCGATGGCAGTAAATTAGGAAGGATAGTATCATTGCATGTAGCCGATAGTGATTCATTGATTCGATGATATTTTCGTTTAGGATCGAGCTCTTTTCGAGATATTTCAATGCATAAATAACAAACCATAACCTGTCAGAATGAAGCCAACTACCTCCTGCATTCCTGCTCCGAGTGCATTTGTGGTTGTGGTGTATGTTTTTGTTTACCAGTTTTACTTCTTCTTCTATTTTTTCCATTCGTTTTTCATTCGTTTCTCATTCGTTAGCTATTCGTTAGGTATTCGCTAGCTATATTCTTCACCATCAGCTATTTTCAGACTAGATTCAGAATGTACGTGCCCCGAAAATTAGAAATTGCTTTAATTTGGAAATGAAAACAACTTTGGCTTTATCGGTCGTCATTCTGTACAGGGTGGACATAAAACTGGAAACTTCCCCATTTTCAGCATTTATAGGCATCAGTCGGCAATATCAGGAATATATCGGCATTAGTCGACATTACGGCAATAAACTAGCATGTAATGCCGAAAGTGGCAATAGGTATACATGATTTTGGAGCGTGTCCTCCTTCTCGATTTTGACATAATCTATATCTTCAAATCTTTATGACGGTCTGTTTCTGGTTTAACTATTTTTATAAGGAAAAACTTGAGGAGAGAAAATCCCAAAAAAATCTAGATTCTTTTAAATAATTCTTGTTACCAACTAGACTGAATTCTTCCATTATGAAAACATATCTTCAACATTAAAATACCGTATCACGAAGACAAAGCGATTGCAATACTTGTTTATATTATGAACTTTTTTATCGACAGCATTATCAATCTGGAATATTTCAACGAACTCAACACCCAGCATATGTTCCCTACATTCAGTGTGTCCCAGCTAAAACTTGTCACCCCCATTATCTCCGAAATCGTTAAATTAATTGAAAATTGCTCGAACAGGTCGACTTCAACTCGGCGGGAGACACATTTTTCTGCATTTATTATATTCCAAAATTGAAACACATTGTATTTAATTGCATTTTTAGATTCTCCCTGAAGAGCTGATTTCATCGATACATCTCACTTGGGGTTTATCGGAGATGATTACGAAGGTTCAAAATCGATATTTTTCAACTTTAGGATTTTT